ACACACTGTTGGTGGAAATGTAAACTAGTTCAGTCACTATGGAAAGCAGTTTAGAAATTTCTCAAAAAACTTAAAACAGAGCTACTATTTGATTGAGCAATCACATTTCTGGGTAGACATACCCCCCAAAATAGATAATTCTACCAAAAGTCACATGCACTCTTATGTCTATCACCTAGCTATTCACAATAGCAAAGACATGGAATCAACCTAGGTGCCCATCAGTGGTGGACTGGATAAAGAAAATGTGGTACATGTATACCATGAAATACTATGCAGCCATAAAAAAGGATGAAATCATGTCCTTTCAGCAACATAGATGGAGCTGGAGGCCATAATCCTAAGCTAATTAATGCAGGAGCAGAAAACAAAATACTGCATGTTCTCACTTATAAGTAGGAGCTAAACACTGAGCACACATGGACATAAACGTGGGAACAATAGACACTGCAGACTAGTAGAGATGGGAGGGAGGGACGGGGGTATAGGTTGAAAAACTACTTATTGAGTACTATGCTCCCTACCTGGGTGCATTATACCTATATAACAAACCTGCACATGTACCCCCTATATCTAAAATAAAAGCCAACATTAAAAAAATAGAAAGAAAGAAATGGGCAGAAACCTGGGGGCAGGGGAGTGAAAGGAAAAGACAGGAGGGAAGATGGGAACAGAAGAGGTGAGGACCAGGCAACATGAAGGGGTCCAAGGAACTTTTGGAAGCAGAATTGGATGACCCTGTGTTTGAGTCAGTTTCTAAGGCTGTGGTATAATTCCTTTCATCTTTCCAAGCCTTCAGTAAGGTCACCTACACACACAAAAAAATGCCTATGGAAGAGGTTTGTTTGGGGAAAGTTAGCAATTGACTTACTTGGCGAATGCAGTACAAGGTCAAACATAGACTGAAATAAACAGACCTACCGAATCCCTCAGTCTCCTCCTCTGTCCATGTGAGCCCCAGGGCTGGTTTGTTTACTTTAAGTGGGAATTAGGATGGCATTTATCTCTTTGCTGCTTGGGCACCATATTTGGGTGAGACAATACCTAATTGATTAATTTAGTGGAAGTAGGAGCTCAAAACCCAAGGTGACCAACCACAAACATGTAATTTACCCCAAAACTCCTGTGACTCTGGAGGAAGTAACTAGAAGTTCCATAATCTGTAGTTCAAGGGTGCAATAGTTTGAATGTTTTTGTCCCCTCCCAAACTCATGTTGAAACTTCATCCCCAACGGAATAGTGTTGGGAGGTGAGGCCTTTTGGGAGCTGTTTAGGCCATGAAAGCTCTGTCTTTGTGAATGGATTAATCCCACCATAAAAAGGGTTTGCACAATATGTCCACATCACATAATGGGACTAGCTTACCACCACCCCCACCATACAAAACAAAGACTGCCAGCACTACAACCAACACCTCCATTCGCCAGGCACCAACTGTGTTGTGTACCCAGCACCATTCCAGGCAATATACAGATATCCACTACTTTGAGGTAGTTATTTTTACATGAACACATGGGTGCTTAGAGAGCAGACATAACCATATATAGAGATCACTCAACAATTCTCATAAACTTACCTTTTGGGTAGTCTGTTCTTCCGATAGCAAAACCTGTTTATGAGTTCTGCCATCTGTAGCCTGAAGTACGGAAAGAACATAGGTTTTGGAGCCTACCTCTGACACTTGCTGTGTTAATTTGGGAAAATTCCTCAACCTCTCTGAGCCTCAGTTTCCATCACGGATCTAACACTTTCTTCCTTGCAAGATTAATATGATACATGTAAGGAACCTAACACAGCTGCTGCCATGTAATCAGCACTCAATAAATCGTAGCTACCATTTTAAAAAGGCAGTGGCCAGGAGGTCTTGAGGGAGTTGAGAAAGTGGGTTGGCTCTCTTCCACTCTTCTACCATGTGAGGAAGAGCGTTTGTCCCTCCTGAAGGATGCAGAATTCCAGGCACCATGTTGGAAATGGAGACCAGGTCCTTAGCAGATACCAACCCTACTGGTCCCTTGATTTTGGACTTCTCCGCTTCCAGAACTGTGGGAACTGAATTTCTTTTCTTTACAAATTACCCATTCTCAGGAATTCTGTTATAGCAGCAGAAAATGGACTCAGAGAGTTTGAATAATCTCTTTTACCCCTTAAGGGGCAAAGAGACCCCAGCTAAATCTAGGTCTAGAATTTTATTTTCTCATTTGATCATGTAATAAACAAAAATAATTGTCCTATCTTCCAAAGGAAAAGTCCCAGAGGGTCTTTTATTTCCCTAAGTCCCATACCTAATAATTTAAAAATCCAGAATTTGAATTCAAGTCTTCAGCTGCAATTTTAAAAAATGTTTTGTTTAGAAATTTTTATAGACTTACAGGAAGTTGCAAAAACAATGCAGAGAGGTCCAGTGAACCCTTTACCCAGTTTCCCCAATTTTTGGGAATTCTTCTGCAATTTAATATTCTTCCCTTCACCCACTGAATTTAGGGATGAAGAGCTGAGCTGCAGGGACGAGTTTTGTGCTACAGCAGCCTTTTTAGGTTTACAGATCATCAGGCCCTGGGTCTCTAGCTGAGAATCAGAAAGTAAGAAGACAAAAGAGTTCAACCTAAAGAAGTTCAAGTCCCAGAGCAGTGGATTTCAGCCCTAGTTGCACATAATCATCATCTGGAGAGCTGTTTAAAATATAGGTTCTCATATAATCTATTAGTTCTGGGAGTTAAGCTTCCATGTCTTCTGAAGCTCCTTAGGAGTTTCTAACAGGCAGATAGCGTTGACCTGTGCCATTGGTACTAATAGGCTCCAAAGTGAGGCCACCCTCTATTCAGAGCGTGGTGTCAAGCAACTCTCCTTCCTAGGATCCCATGGCTGACACCAAGATACCTATAAGAGGATCCTGCGAGTGGAGAGTCCTGGGGTAACCTGGCAGGGAAATTTGTCTATTGTGTTTACTGAAAGGCATTGTAGTACTGCCACTCAGAGCTGTGCTTCCCTTTCTGAAACAGTCAAGCAGTTCCGGGCACATCAAAGGAGATTATCATTCCTCTGGCACCGGCTTTGTTTTCTGCTGCCTCTAAAAGAAACAGGTCCACTTATCTCCAGAATGCTTTCCCAGAAAGCTCAGTCCCTGCTGGGTGAGGTCACCAGTTCACAATTTGCATCCATCACACCTTGTAGGAAGTGGGGAGAAATTGGCTTGCTTTGTTTTTCAGCACTGGGGAAACAGATTTCTTCTTAAGCTTCACACAATAAATTGTATTAAATCTTTTCAGCAGGGTTTCCATGGCTATGTGAAAGGAAAATCATACAGTAATTGTTTTAAATAATACAGCAAGGCAAGCTGGAGAGTACATCTTAATTTTTGTCATCTGTGCTGTGTTCCTGTTTGTATGAAAATGTTCCCAAGGCAGAGGAAAGGTTTCTGCATTCACTGGGAGTTGCTTGGTGAATGTAATGCAAGGTCAAATACAAAGCAAAATAAACAGACCTACAGAATCCCTCAGGTTCTTCCTGTCCATGTGAGCCCCGGGGCTGGTTTGCTTACTTTAAGCGGGAATTAGGATGGCATTTATCTCTTTGCTGCTTGGGCGCTAAAACTGAGCCTTCGACTGTGTAAGCTTGATTCCTGCTTCTCCCTCAGTCCTCCATAAGGAAAGAGAGTTAGATGTCTGCTCTAGACAAAGGTGATGCCCAAGAGGAACACTGAGTATAAATCTGTCCCCCAGCTTCCTGGTACCTGGGGAATTCTGTAGGGTTAGGTCTCCACCAGTGTTAGAGCAGTCATTCGCAAAACATCACACATAAGAGTCAAGGTCCCGTAATCCCAGCACTTTGGGAGGCTGAGGCGGGTGGATCACCTGAGGTCTGGAGTCTGAGACCAGCCTGACCAACCTGGAGAAACCCCATCTCTAGTAAAAATACAAAATTAGCCAGGTGTGGTGGTGCATGCCTGTAATCCCAGCTACTCGGAAGGTTGAAGCAGGTGAATCACTTGAACCCGGGAGGCGGAGGTTGCAGTGAGCCAAGATCGTGCCATTGCACTCCAACCTGGGCAACAAGAGTAAAACTCTGTCTCAAAAAAACAAAAATAAAAAAGAGTCAAGGTCTTCATAATGGACTGTCCAAGATTCTGAGCCCCAACCACCAGGCTGTTGCAAGCTGCCTACTCTCTCTGAGATTTCATTTCTTCATCAGTAAAATGAGGACGGTGAAACCTATGCACCCAGAGATTCTGACTCTCAAAGCAGGTAAAGGATATAAAGTCCTTATCCTAGTACCTGACAAAGCATCAAGGCTCAATATAACAGTAACAGTGTTTTGTTACCATTATCATTATTAGTATTTGAAGAGACGGCCTCTCTCATAACAAGGTGAACCGGAGAGCTGTTGCCTGCCTGGGTGGTATCCAGATTAAATTCAACAAATACTAGAGCCCCTTCCAAATGTCACAGAGCTGGCCAGTGTTGGGAAATTGGCTTCCTGCCCTGAAGGAGCTCTCAGTGTAGAACTAGGACCCTCACCAACTGATGCTGATGAACATTACACTCAGATTGTACTTGACCATGGCTAGCCCATGTTGTACAATTACTCCAGGGAGAAAGCAATTCCTAACTTAGTCCTAGACAATCAGTTGGGTAAGGAAATAGAGAGCTCTACACTGTCACTAACAGAAAATGTCATGTTGAGTCCCAATCCTCTGTAGGCAATTCAGCTTCTAAATAGGGATACAAGTAAATTCCCTCAGCCAAACCCCAAACAGTCAGGGCAGACTGCACCCCAGGGCCTAGTCCTTTGACCACAATGATGCTGATGAGAACCTCATGTGGCCAGGAATGGGGAGGTGGAGGAAAGAAAAGACAGGAGTCGAGGAGGCAGAGGCTCACCAAGTAAGTATGAGATCACTTGGCAGACAAACCAACATTGAAAGGAAAAGGACATTGGCTCTAGTCACAGTCTGCCATTTTGAACTCTGGAAGTTTATTTTAGCTTTTTTTTAAAAAAAATGTTTTACAGCATGGACAATAAAAAGTAAGAGAACGCGTTAAGAAGATTCGCCCACACAGAAGTCATCTGTGGAGCCAAAACCAAGACATAGTTGAGATGCTTTGCTTTAATCTGTGCCTGTGAGAGACACTTGCTCTCTGCAGGCCCCACGGGAGTTGTGGAACAGTCCCACCAGATTCCAGGGCTGCCTTAGAGCGCGCCAGTCTATGGCCCCTAGAGGCCAGTGTGGCCCTGTCCTTCAGTGTCTCTGGTCTGTGGCTTCTGCCTACAGCTCACTCAGTCAATCCCAAGCCTGTCCCTTTTTCCAGACGCAGCTCATGCCTCACTTGCTTCCCCGTTTAGAACTTTATCCCAAGGTGGAGTAGGTTGATGCCAGAATTGGAGCCCCTCCTCTGCACTCCCATGTTGCCCTCTACTGTGGTACTTACCCCCTGGCCATACTTCCTGTTTACCTGTCTGTCTCCTCTGCTGGTTCATGAGCCCCTCATGATCACAGGGGAGAAACCGTCTTTTATGTGTCGTGCATCCCCAGAGCATAGCACAGGGCCTGGTGCATAGAGGTATGCCATAAATGGTTGTTGAATGAGTGAATGCCTATATAAATAAATGAATGGGTGGCAAAGCTCACTGAACACATCAGTACGGTGATGTGCTGAACATCAAGACATTCCTTTAAACCTCTCGGCTTGGGTCCAGCCTCTTTAAGTTTGCCCTCACCCCATGTGGAATTCTAGCACCCACTCACCCATCCACATGCACACACAGTGGACAGCAGCAGCATCCTAGGCCTCCAGGGGGCTTTAGAGCCCCATCTCCTTCTCTCTAGGCTAGTGCCTCTGGTTTCACTGTAACAAGGACTGGGTCTGCTCAGCTGCTCACTGTGACCTTAATGAGCTAGGCCTGCTCAGCACATGTGGAGGTGGTAAGTGCTGTCTATGGAACCCTAACAGCCCCATTTTAAAAGGCCAAGTGTTTCTATTTCTTTTGAGCCCGGGATTTTTTTCAGAACACTTCCCCCATGAATCAAAATCCCCTATAGTCCATTATAGAAAAATGGACAGCAAATACAAAGATGCTAATGACCTAGCCTTACTCTCAGGTCCTTAGTAAAATGACCAGGTTCTTAAATTAATTCTTCCCACATGGCCACAAGCATCTCATCTACCTTTCAACAAAAACAGATGACTCACACTGATTTACTAACCATAGTGACTACCTACTGACCCACTTTCTCTCTGTCACTATACTGTTGCTTTTCATACATTCTCTCTTTTAATTCCCATAACAAACCCATTAGGTGGATTCTGTTTTGATTCCCATTTTATAGATGAGGAAAATGAAGCTTAGATATTTTAGGCGACTTGCCCACAATCACATAGTTGATAAACGATGAACTTAAGATTTGAAACCATGACTGTTGACCTCTAATATTTAACCTCATCTGGTTTTCTCTTGTTACATAACAAACCATCATTAAAATTTAATGGCTTAAAACAATTTACTATGATCTCTCATGGTTCTGTGGGTTGACTGGGTCAGGTGGGAAGTTTTCACGTATAGTCTCACGCAGATACAGTCAGATGGCAGCTGGGGCTGCAGTCATCTGAACGCTGAACTGGGCTGGATGTCCAAGATGACAACTCCTATGGCCACCAGTCAATGTTCGCTGAGGACTGGGAGTTCTTCTGGGGTTACTGATTGAGCATCTATATGTAGTTTGTGTGGTTTGGGCTTCTCACAGAATTTAGAATCCACAGAATGGTGGGATTCTAAAAAGGAGTATTCCATGTGAAAGCTTTTCAAGAGATCCAGGCAGGAACTGCAAGGCTTCTAATGCCCTACATTCACAAGTCCCAAACTTCACTTCTTGTGTATTCTATTGGTCAAGCAATTTCCCAGGGCCAGCTTGGATTCAAGAGAAGGGAGATAAGACAATAACTCTTAACAGTAAGAGGGTCAAAGAATTTGCAGTCATCTTTGTCACAGTCTGCTCTCTGATTGCATATTATTTTCATTCCTCCCACATGGTAAATACACGTATCTCCTCCTAAGACCCAAAAGTCTCATCCCATTATGGCATCCACTCAAGCTTGAGGTCCAGGATTTTATCACCTAAGTCAGATCTTGATGCAGATGAGCCTCCTTGGGGTGCAGGTCCCTGAGTACAGCTCTTCTCAGTCTGAAGACCTGTGAGATGAAGAGACAAGTTATCTGTCCCACACACATAAATACAGTGGTGATACAGAGATAGGATAACTTCACTAAAGCTTTTATTCCAAAGGGAAAGAAATGGGAGGCACATCACAGTCACTGATCCATAGCAATTCTAAACTCCAGCCAGGTGCATGTTGCCAGATCCTTGATTAGTGAGTTCCCAGTCGTGCCTCCCTGGGAATGATTGTAGCTCTTGGCTCCCCACTCCTACTGGGATTTTGATTCTGCTCTCTGAATAATTCTTCCTTTTCCATAAGAAATGGCCATGTTTGCAGCTTAGTAGCCTACTTGTCCTGCTTCCTACCCATAGAAGGCTCTCTACAGTTTGAACTGTCTCTTTCCTATTTAGTTCAGGCTGATGGTGCTTTTGCATGTACAATTCTCTTAAATTTTTTGTAAGTTTCCTAAAGACTCTTTCAGGTTCACTCCATTAGTCAAAATACATACCTACAAATCTCTTCAAGATATGCCACTTTCTGCTTGTGCTGACAGGTGCTATGGAACAATGCCCTTCAGAATCCTTCAAAGTCTGTGAAATAGACTTTCGCCTCTCCGTGTGGCCTGGGCTTCTTACAGTATGTCACCTTCAAGGTTTTTAAAAACTTAGCGAGCGTCTTAGAGCCGTATCTCTGAGATGATCATTACCTTATATCATGTCTTACTTTGAGAATTTTTTTTCCAGCTGGAGAGGCTTAGAATGGAAAATAGCTTTCTTTCTAAACCCAGTAAGTCTGGCTTCTTATATTCTATCTAAGTTTTGCTTGAAACTGAATAGTTCATTATGGTAGCAGGGAGTTCACTTCCCTATATTCATACCTTACCATACTTGCCTAAGAGAAACCATTAAGCATGTTTAGCATTCTGCCTGGAAGTCTCCTTAGCCAAATCTGCCATTTCCTAGATATATTTTCTGTTTTTCATGTTACCAAAAGCAACGGTATACCAAATTACCCATCATTACAAAACAAAGGATGCCTTTTTCCAGCTTCCAATAACAATGTCCTCATTTTCCCTCTAGTTCTCATTAATAGTTTCCTCAGGGACCTCACAGCTTCTTCCTGCTGCTTGGACGTTCCCAAAGCCAACGTCCCACATTTTAAGTTTTCATTATGGCAGCACTCCAGGTACCAAATTCTGTTCTAAGTATCCATGGTTCCATAGAATGCCACCCAAAACATAGTTGTTTAAAACTGCAATTTATTATTTATCATGATTTTATGGGTTGACTTGGTTCAGCTGGATGATTCTTATCTGGGCTTTCTCTTACAGTTGCAGTCAGATGTTAGCTGGGACTGCGCTCAGCTGAAGGCTTGATTGGGATTCGTGTCTATGATGGCACACTCAGATAGCTGGCAGCTGATACTGGCTGTGGGAGGGAAGCTCAGTTGGAGCACCTACTTCCGGCCTCTCCATGTGGCCTGGGCTTCTTACAGTATGCCACCTGGTTCCAAGAGGGACCGCTCTGAGAGGGAACGTTCCAGGAGACCCAGGCAGAAACTACAACACTTCCTATGACCTAACCACAGAAGTCCCAGAACATCATTTTCACTGTATTTTATTAGTCAAGCAAGTCACTATGGCCAGCTTAGATTCAAAAAGGGAGGAATTAAGGAAAGGAGAAGACATAGAGACTTGCCTCTCGTTAAGAATCCATCTCTTAACGAGAAGCAAGTCGGTGTCCTCTCCTTTCATACTATTCTACACAAATTATGGGTCAGCTCTGCATATCTGGTAACTCCTTCCTTTAAATATTGATGCTGATCCTGCTCCCAAGGCCATCTTGTCTCTTACCATAAAAAAAAAAAAATGCACATATCCTACAAATATATAGACTCAATCTGATATTCTTCTGAGCTTTATATTTGAAAATATGTTAACTTTTAGTGATCCTCCCACCTCGGCCTCCCAAAGTGCTGGGATTACAGGCATGAGCTACCACGCCCAGCCTTCTCTTCTCCTTAGGACACATGAAAGCTAAAATTGACAATGGCTCTGTCAAACAGCCATCCATGGAGAACCTAGATCAAGAATATTGCCTCTCAATCCCCAGAGCTCTCTCACTCCACTTGACGGGGCCCCATGGGGACAGGTACTGAGGGGACTCCCCTCTCTGTACCCCACCCATCACTAGCTTCCCCCTGCCCCCTGGAGGGGCCCCTAAACTGGGCACTGGCTCACTCTCACAAATACTTTAAGGGGGAGTGGAAATGGAGGGGGTCATTGCTGTTTTGTTTAACTGGAACTAGAACAGGGATCATGTCCTATTTTAGGACAGAAACGGGAAAGGATATCAGGATCTCACTTCTGCACTGGCCACCACCACTGTCACTCATCACATTGAGTGGATGTCCCTCGAGAGTTTGTATAAATTCAGGTCAGAGCTGCAGCTACACAGCTGTCCAGTGTCATAGAAAAGTAATTCACAGATGACTGCTCTCTCCATTTGGAAGGATGCAGTCTTCATGTACAGTGATGAGAAACTGTTATTTTATAATCTTTTCATTAAAAGCTTGGCTGAAAACCAAAAAAAAAAAAGACTCTCTTTAGACAATTTCTTCATGAGCAATTAGCTGCCTGAAACAAAGAAGAAAACACCCAGATCAAACATGTTTATAGCCTTCAATTAATTACCACTGCTAAGTGGCAGACCAAAGTGTAAGTCTATGTCCAATTACACACCTTATGGGCCATTGCTTTTGTTCGTGTAATAAGCCGTCAGCACCCTTTTGCTATCTTCATCCTTCAGAATGGCTATCTGATGTGGGTGAAAGTGAGTGGTCATTCTCCACTTGTGCTTCCTCTACCTCTGTCAACAAGCATGACAGGCGGGAGGAGGCTGTTAGGGAAGAGGAGAGGAGGAATGGAATGCACCAAGGGCCTCTGCAATTTTATAACTATGACAGAGAATATACACGCCCCTGCTCAAATGATCATTTGGCAGTATCTCTCACCTTGCCAAGAGCCAGTATAGCTTGGAGAGAATGGGCATGAGCTCTGGAGTCAGGGAGCTTGTATCTGGTTCCTGGCCCTTCCATTTAAGGTGCAACAATGGACAAGTTATTAAGCTAAGCCTCTTTGTGCCTTATTTCCTCAGTTCTCAATACTCATCCCGTTTCTCCTGTTAGTCACATGTAATTACCCAATCACTCCCTCCTTCTGAAAACACCCAGAGTGACTGAAGAGTCAGGGAGAGCTGACTTAACACTGGGCAATCAGGTGAGCACATCTGAGGAGGTGGCATTTAACCTGAGCCTTGAATGACAAGAATAACCCAGCAGACTTGTAACAGTCATGGCAGGTGTATTAGTTTCCTGCAGCTGCTGTAACAAATTACCACAAACTGGGCAGCTTAAAACAACAGAAATGTATTCGCCCATGGATTTGGAAGCCAGAAATCTGAAATTAAGGTGACAAGGCTGCCCTCCCTCCAAAGGTTCCAGGGGAGAACCTGTTCCTTGCCTCTTCTGGTGGCTCAGAAGTTTTTTAGCTGTGACCACATCTCTCCAGTCTCTACCTCTGTGGTCACATTGCCTCCTCCTCTTCTCTGTGTGTCTGTCTTACAAGGATGCTTGTGATTGCATTTAGAGCCTACCTGAATAATCCAGGATAAGTGCCTCTTGTCAAGATTCTTAGTTGAATCACATATTTTTGCTATGTAGGGTAATATTCACAGGTTCCAGGGATTTGTAGGTGGACATATATTTTGGGGGCCACCATTCAACCCACTGCAGTGTGGTCAAAATATAAAAAGAAAATCAGACTGGATGGGGCCTTTTCAGCCTGGTAAGGGGTATAGTATTACTAGCAATGAGAAGTCATTAGAGATCTCAGGCAGTTTATACTGAGGTGTGTGTGTGTGTGTGTGTGTGTGTGTGTGTGTGTGTGTGTGGTTTTTTTTAATTTTTTCTTTTAGAGGCAGCATCTTGCTCTGTAACCCAGGCTGGAGTGCAGTGGTGCAATCCTAGCTCACTGTAACCTTGAAACCCTGGGTTCAAGCAATCCTCCTGTACCTGAAACTACAAGCACACACCACTGATAGCTAATTTTTACATTTTTAATAGAATCGGTGTCTCTATATGTTGTCCAGGCTGGTCTCAAACTGCTGGCCTCAAGTAATCCTCCTGCCTTGGCATCTCAAAGTCCTGGGATTACGGGTGTGAGCCACTGTGCCCAGCCTATACTGAGATATGTCTTATGATGATCACTGATCACTCTTGCTGCTTTGTGAAGAACGGATTTGGAGGGAGAGTAGAAGTAGAAAGACCAGTTCACAGGCCATTGCCAATCTGAAAACTTGAGTATGGGGCAGATCTGATATTCTCCATGTAGATTACAGCCAAATAATCCTTCATCAAAGCTTGCAACACAATATTGCTCATAAGAACAATTTTTTTGATAAAGCAACTTCTCATTCTAAATCCTACAAAACAGGTCTATGTCCTGGCCCCACTTTATTTTACCTTTAACCCAAATAATTTACTTCTGCTATTAACTAAAATGAACTCATGCTCTGTTTTCCACAGCATTTGGGGACTTCCTCCATTATACTGATGCCATGGTTTTAGAGTCAGGAACTCAGAGTGGCCTTGAGAAGAAGCTAAAACATTTGGTAACAACAATCAGAAAGAGCAATCTCAGGTCAGCCACACAAAAGTGAAAATATTGGCAGCGGGGAGCAAGTGGGTAAGTAATAGACTGAATCCTTCCTGTCTCAGGCTGGTCAGGTGCCATAACAAAGTACTGTAGGTTGCGTGACTCATCAACAACATAAACTTATTTTTTACAGTTTTGGAGGCTGGAGGTCTGAGATAGATCAGGGTGCCAACATGGTTGGGCTCTGGTGACGGCCCTATTCTGGGTTGCAGATGGCCGTCTTCCTTTTGTATTCTCACATGGAGGAAAGAGAGCAAGCTAGTTCCCTGGACTCTTCTTATAAGGGCATTAATCTCATTCATGAGGGCTCCATCCTCAAG